TCAGGACAAGATCTCTGCACCTGACCACCAGAATCTTCAAAGCTTCTATAGAGGTTTTAACTGGGTCCAGTACCCTAAACTATTCAGATGTTCTCAACAATACATTTCGTGGCTGTGTCTTTGAAAACAGCTTCCACTGTGGAAATGGTGGGGAAAATGTACATTCTAAGGACAGCAGTTGGTGGGGAGCCTCTGACTGCCCAGGGTCCCACTCGTGGGTGAACCAGTGGTCATGTCCTCTCGATGACCTCCTCCAACAGTGAACATTATGATGAAATCAAATATGTTACTGCATACAATGCTTTACAATGGTTCCTTTTGTTAGGACATTCTGATGACTATAGACTTGCTGTTGCAAATTCATGTGAGAAAAACAAATTTGAGATGTATTCATTTTGTCCGCTTAGAATATTCCCAAGCTACTAAAAGTTACCATTACTCTTTCATAATCTGCTTAAATGTAATCAAAACATAATAATCTCCTTGGTGGCCAAGATTTTATCATGTGTGTTTCCACTGCATGGTGCAGAGCTTAGTGCTCTGTCTTGTTCCAAATAGGCATTCAGAAGTGTGTATTGATTTGAAAGACTCATTTTGTTTTTTCTGAGGACATTTCTACCAAGTAGATACTAGGTTGCATCTCTGAAGATGCTCTCCAGCAAACTCAAATTTGCCAATAATAACACAGGAATTATAACCAAAGTGCCAGTTCCAAGTTTTTTGTTTGTAATCGATCTCTTCTTAGTAAGTAATCAATTTTATTTGTATTAATTAAGCTATGAATTAATAACTAACTTAACCTTATTTAAAGAGCTACCCTTCACTGAATTATCACAGGATTTTAAGATGCATAATTTTCTGTATTTTTACATTCTGCCCACAGTATTTCTTCAATTTCTTTCTCTTTCATTGTAGCATTAAAAATGAAGCAGCATGATCTCGAGAAGATTGTTTGTGAGATCATAAGCAAATTTACATACCATTCAATATCTTCCTCCATTAAATTCAAAGTAAATTAAAAATATTTTAAATATAAAACGTAAAAATTATATTATTTAAAATGTTTCCAGCTTCTAATATGAGATATACCCTGTTTAAAAAAAACTGTCAGATGACATCATTTCTTTCTCAAGCTCAGATAGTTACTTTTACTCAATAAAGTAATATTTATGACATTTAGAAATTGCTGTGTTGATCTGTGTACATCAAATCTCAATAAAAAAAATCAGTTGGATGACATTCCCTTGTTATCATTATATTTGTGATACTTATTGAACATTTATTATTTGGCAAGATAGAATTGTTCCTTAATTTTACAAATATGATAGAAATTACTATATTTATACATGAGATCTGCTTGTTCTTATCATCTTTTAGAGAAACCACCATTACATCAGAATGCTCTGAGGTACATGATCATTTTTACTATATTAAAATATGAATTGTTTCTTTTCATTAAGAAATTTCAGGTAAAGATAAATGTAAGTGAAATTCTTTGTTGGTGTATTTAATCTAAAAGAAAAATGGTTTGGATAGAAGTCAGAATTCCTTGACTTAACTTTACTTATTTATTAGAACATACTAAATAGAAAGGTATTTATTTTTTAAATTCCTCCAAAAATAACTTCATATTATAGATATGATTCCCAGCTTGAATTTATTGCCGTATCTGAAACTGCAACTCACAAAAAATTAGGCAATTAATATGTTGACACAGATTTTAAAGTGTGTTCCAAAGAACACTACTTAAAATGTTCACTGTCATTGCATACACATATATAATGCACTATAATAAGGAGTTTAACAAAGACTAGATTTACCTCCAGAGTGTATCATGGCCTTAAATATTTAAAATGCAATATGAGTCTCCAAAGGGAAATATACTGTATAGTGGATTTCCTACACAGAGTTCCGTGAATGTTCTTGAGACTAGACCAGAACATCTTTCTATGGAGCAGTTTGGAAAATCAGAGTTCCAAGGAACATATTTTGGGAGAAACAGGATACAAGGGTTATTCAAGTCTGACCAGGAAAAACAAAAATGCATTCAGCACCAACACCAATTATTGTGGAATCGACAAAACTGAACTGTATTGTTACAAAATAGCCCCCTTCCTTCCTCCACAAAAATTACTTTTAGTGTAATCTGACTTTTCAGAATCAGGCTTTGACTAAAGTATTCAACACAGCTCAATATGCTGGTTTTTCAAGGGATGGAAATGTCCTTCTAAATCCATGCTAATTGATTTATCTTTTTCACATTTGAAAAATTGGGATGACATCCACCAATGTATGAGGACTTTAGATAAATTTGGCACATTTTGAAGGAGTTGAGAATCACGGTTGTTGTTTTTTCTGATTATTGATGAATAGATGTAAAAGTGGCACCTCCAATTGTCAAGCACCCAGGAATCTACTTTTAATCATCAAAGAGCAACAAATTCAGGGCAAAAACATCAGTAGCTAAAGGTAGCAATTCACTCACCCATATAAAGTACAATTCATAGTGGATATGTAGTAAAGAAACCTACTTTATTTTTGTCTATGTATTTGGATAGAATGAAGTAATGATTTTTTAAAATCTGCTGACTATTGGTTTTCTTACTTGCTATAAATCTTACCTTAAAATTTTGTTTTCAAATAAAGCCAACCATGCACATTGCTTAATTGTGTGATATGTAATACTATAATATTGTTCATGTTAAAGGTCTTAAGTATCCTTTAATTTTAAACCAGATGCATATTAAAACTCAATAATAATATATGTATATTTAAATATTTTAATGGCATAATATTCTACCCTTTAAAAGTATATTTTTATAAACTTTACTACTTATAATGAATAAATTTAATAATTTTAAGAACTTACCAAACTCCACAAAACCACATTTTAGAATGTATTCAGCAATCTAGCCAGTCATACTTTGTTACATTGGTATTAGCAAGGAATACAATACTCCATGAGCTGAACTTTTAGAATGTTTATTCATGTAAAGAGCCAAAGTGTTTAACTAAAATAAATTCTATTGAAAACTTTCTAAAATATCTATTTTCCAGCTCTCTTAAATAGAAATACTGAACAAAAGCTAACAGCGTCATCAGAATTCCTGTGCCTGAAAAGTGTTTGCATTACGAACCTGGTTCTGTTCGCCTGCTCAGGCAATTGCCCCACATATTGAACTTGAAGGTGTTCCCTGCCTCCCTGAGAACTGTCGCTTCTCAAGGCAGATGGGACGTACTTGTGCCTTCTGATCTGCCCCGTATTTACCTCTAATCTTCTGGGAGTTCTGAAAGTTAATCAGAAACTAGCCCTAGGCCTCTCCCCCAGATAGTGTTAATAAATTCTGTGCTGCTTTCTTGGTTCTCACTTCTAGATTGGTGGTGGTGCTCAAGGTAGAGTCAGGCATGCGGAAAGCCTGACCCTCCAGAAGGTGAAATGTTTATACACCAAATCATGTCAAATAATAAATGATCATTTTCAGTTTTGTTCACTTGCCCCATGTCCACTATGTTTATTTGCAAGACTTCCTGTAAAAGATTGCCAGGAAGATCTGGGCCATTGCACACTAATACACAGCAGCTCTTTATTACTATATTTATTTATTCTCTCATTCTGGTTCCATAAAGGTTTTATTACCACTAAGCAAGTCTTTATGGTTAGCATATCTGAATTTTTCTTGTACTTTGCAATTCATTTCAGCTCTCTCTTTCTATATTAATGAATTTTGGATATGTGCTTTTAAAGTAAGTCAGGCCAAAAACAGTTTGCAAGTCACAGCTTCAGCCTAAGGATTTCACATACATTATAATTTTTTAATCCCCAGTACAGCCTTCAAATCAGGAATTACTGTTCCCTGGCTCACAAATAAATACATTAACTAAGATTGAGAGAGCTTAAGCAAAACCTGTAGTCCTACATTTGGAAGTGTGAAGTGAGAATTCTCACCCACACCTTTCTGAGTTAAAACATTGGTGAGTTCTGCAATAACACATGGTTTTTAAAAACAGTCAAAAAGCAATAGTCTGTGGCCATTACACGTTTAGACAGCCACATAGAAATGAGGTCCACAATTGATGTTCAAAAGTATGACCTGAATCCTTTAAGGAAAGGTTATATTTTATCCAATTTATTTCTTCAAGACTTTGAAATTCTAATACACTTTAGGAGGTTAAACCCAATATGGTTCTTTTTTTTCATAATACAAGTATTAAGATCATTAATAATGCATAAATCTCAACTTCAGACATTCAGAGCAATGCATTCTCATGTGTTTAAGAAACCATGTTTTTATAGTCTATATGATTTCACTTTTTGCTACTTGCACTACTATTAAAGGTGACCATGTCCTTTTCTAACATGAACTCTGTAGCCACAATAAGTTTACAAACAGAATTAGCCTCCTATACCCATCAGGTGAACCATGATTCTACTCAAGGCAACAATATATTTCTGTTGGAGAAAATACAGGTGACCACTATATTTCATTGATGTTTAATATTTTAACATCAAGGTAAAGTTACTTTTAAACTTCTATTGCAAAAAAAAAATAAAACATTCTATAAACTTTATCCTTACATTAGAAGTTCATTAACTTATTCCAAAAAACATTAGAATATTCTATAATACTTATATATTTTCCTTGACATATATTCCCAGTATCTCCAAGAGAAATTAGACTTTGAACTTTTGCTAAGATTTACAGCAATGAATAAAATAAGTTTTCAATATTGAGGCAATCACATCAGGGCTCAAAATAAATTCATTCTGGCTTTTAAAGTGAAGGTAACCAAATTGAATTTGTCCATATTCCAGTAATGACAATTTTTTATTAATGACATTATTTTCAGTAAAGCCCGTGGAATTCTTAACTTCAAGGTTGTTGACCAGAGAAACATGAAATTATAGACTGGCTAACACAATTTTCTAATCTGTGACAACTGCTTTTTCACTCTGGCAGTTATGTTGTAAAACTACATATGCTAAGTCTCACAAATCTTACCGTCAGTTTCTCCTCTAAATTCTCATTTAATAAGCTTCCTTTTTCATGCTTTTCAAATTCCATGTTGAAAGAGAGAGAGAGACACAGAAAAAGAGAGATGCAGATTCTGTCTAGAAAATGATTTGACGTGCTTACATGTTAGATATTACAGGACATTCCAAGTTGTGAAAGCCCAGGACACTATCAGAACTCCCTGACGATAATTTCTGGTTAGCTAGTGTTTCCATTTATAGATGTTCAATCCCCACAGATAGAGCACGGAAGAGAAGTCAGGCAGCTGGCCTCGGATCGTGATAAATGTCACTAGATATTAAAGCAAGTTCTCCAATAAAAAAATATTCCACCAGCTTAGGTTCCCTGAACAAAGTAAGATGTGTGTGACAAACAGCAACTATCAAAGAATTCATTCAGAGTCTTTGGAGCAGAAAAAAATACACTCCAGAATAAAGACCTAATAAATCACTTTCAAAAGGACAAATGTGATAGTCATATAGCAAATATGAATCAACCAGTCATTCTTCCGAACAATTTTTGCCCTGATGGCCCAGGGATTTCTGCAATATTTTGTTGCTCAAAAATTTTAAAAGTCAATTAAAAGGATAGAGCAAAGGATAACTAATTAAAACTATGAAGATGTAACACATATATTCAAGGGCCATTGCCAGTTTTGTTCCATAAAAATTTGGCAAATGATGTTTAGAAATATCATGAAATAAGAGTCATGTTCATTTTCACAAATACTGATTTTGTGCTGGTGTTTCTACTGGGGACAAAGTTATGACATAATAGATGAAATTCATTTTACCAATGGAACAACATTTTCAGAATTCTTTAGAAACTGTCACATGCCTTAAAGAAAATTAATTATGTAGCTAGCTAGTAATTAACTCTCCCTGTGTTTTTTTTTCTTCACAGCAATAAAAAATAAAAATGGCTTCCAGAGTCAGCTAAGACTGCTCTCTATGTTGGCCTAATCCCTCAACTTGCTTTAAATGTCTTTTTAACACCTGTTTCTGACCTTAACTCAAATTTCCTATCAATTTTTACTTTACTTCTTAAGAAAGCATTTTAGAAAATGTGTTGTGAAACTGGCTTCAGTGTGATCACAGCTGGTTCTTTGCTGCCAGGCAGGTCTCTCTCAGCTTATTTGGCATCACGACGGAAGGGCTGAGGAGTTCAGAAACATAGAGTAGAAAACAAGTCTCACTAATCCTGCTGAGCATAATAAATTCAAAAACCTTTTATTAAACTCATGCCTAAAAGGGGCTTCCCTCTCTGGCTCAACTCTGAATTTCAGAAAGAAAATCATACATGCTAGCTGTTGCCCTGACAAGTTTGAAAACTGAAGTCTTCTAGGTCTACCAGAGTGCAAGACTGGCATGTCTCGAAAGCAAGGTAATCATTGAAATTTTATGTGAATGGAACCTCCAAAATCACTCTAGGAAAAAAAAGTGCACTATGGCAACAAACAGAAACTCAGTTATGGCTAGTTTCGTGCCCGAAGGCAGAATTCAGGATCCAGAGAAGCAGAGGACTGGTGGGTTGTAGAGCTGGCTGGAGAGAGGAAGAGAGTGGTGGTAACAAGAGGGATGTGTCAGTGGTAGTGGGAGGGATGAAAGCTGTAATTTAACAAACAGGCACTGAGTACCTATAATAGGCAAAGATCATCCTAGGTGCAGGGAGATTTTTTTAAATAATAAAAGATACAATGTCTACATTTCTTCCCTTAACAAACTCACAACATAGGCGTGACTGGATGTAAGTAGGGTAATAACACTCATATAGCATGCTTTAATAGCATTCACCATGTGCCAGGAACTGCTTCAAACCTTGTATGATCTCAATTAATTCTCAAAACCACTCTAGATGGTAGATACTATTATTTTCTCTGTTGTTATGGGCCAAATTGTGACCTCCACCAAAAAATATTTAATATGTTGAAGACCTAACTCCCAATATCTCAGAGTAAGACTATATTTGAAAATTGGGTCTGTAAAGAGGTAATTAAGATAAAATGAAGTCATTAGGGTTGACCTTATTGCAATAAGACCAGTGTCCTTACAGGAGATTAGGACAAAGATGCACTTAGAGGGAAGACATAGGGAGAAGATGGCCATCTACAAGTGAGGGAAAGAGGTCTTAAGCCTGACAACCAACCCTGACAACACCTTGATCTTAGATTTCTAGCCTCCAGAATTGTGAGGAAATATATCTCTGTTGTTTAAGTCTGTGGTATTGGTTGCTGCAGTCCTAGAAAACTAATGTATCCATTTTAGAGGTAAAAAAAATAATAAGACCCAACTGGATCCATAACTAATACGTGGCACTCAAGCCCCCTGGCCCAAGCTCCTAACCACTGTGCACTTTGGTGCCTCGGAACAAGTGATTTCCTCACAGGCACAACAGAGAGAATGAGGAAATAGCACCAGCACTGTAAGGTGAATACTATCTACCCCATTCATTTAGAGACATGTTTAAATTATCTTAGATATGTTTTAAGAACAAGAGCTCTCCTTGAGTAAAATTATGCTCACATAGAGAGTCAAGAGGGTAGTATAGGGCCCTGACTCGTGTGACTGTTTAGTTGCGTGTCATCCTGCAAAGTGAAATGTCACCTGTTCAATTGCATCAGGGCACATGCCTAGGTTGCAGGGTCCATCCCCAGTCCTGGCGCATACAAGAAGCAACCAATCATGTTTCTCTCACTGATATTTCTCTCTCTTTTTCTCCCTCCCTCCTCATCTCTCTGAAAAAAAAAAAAAAGATGGTGGTATAGGTAAATGCAGTACTCAGAAACCCCCACAACTGTATCAAAATAAACTACAGAACAACTAAACTACAGAAGAACCATCATTCAGAACTTCCCTGAAATCTGGCTGAACAGAAGTCCCACAACTAAAGATATAAAGAAGAAGCTACAATGAGACTGATGAAATACAATAAAAATCATGATGACAGCTCAATATCTATACCAAGGAGTCAAGTAACTGATGTAAAACAATGTTATGACCCAAAATATTGATATAGTATTGAAAGTGAAGAAAGATTGCATATCTTCACTGACAGAACAGACAATATCCCAAAGACTCTTAAAAAACAAGATTCTTAGGAAGATATGGTGGAAACACTTCAAAAAATTATAATCATCTTCATGGCAATTCTCCTTTTAATCATCATCATTCATCATTCTTTTAAGTACAAATGTAATACCAACCTGACCCTTCTTCTCTCCATCCCCAATAGGTACCAATAAGTTGCTACATGTAAAAAAAAAATATGCCCATGCAAAAGCTAGCCTTCATCCACTTGCTGGCCAAACAGAAGAGACTGAGCCACACTGGTCTCCTTCTGTCATCAATCACAACAAACATGTTTCTTCCTCTGACTGGTGTGCTCTGTCCCCAGCCAGGCATGAGTGCTCCTTCTCACTTCATCCAGGTCTTCCTCAATGACCCCATCTAAAACAACAAACCCTCTGTCCATTCATTTGCCATAGTCTTCTTCACAGGTCTCATCACCTCTGGTATTCTGTTATTTCACATGGTATTTCAAGTTTATCCATATGCATTTATTTGTAGTTTGTCCCTCCTACTGGAGTATAAGCACCAGAGGGTGCTTCATTCATTACTTTATCCAGGCACTGAGAACACAGTAAGTGCCTGGATAAAGTAATGGCTAGCTTTTGCATGGGCACAGTAAATAAAGTCTTGTAAGGGAAAGAGGGCAGGAAGAAGAAGAAGGAAAGAAGGGAAGAGGGAGGAAGGGAAAGAGGGTGGGACTGGAGGGAATTGTAGCAAATGGATGTAACTTAAGACATTTGATGCATTGTTAATTATAAGACTTTTGGTATAAAATAGAAATAAAATGCATATTTATAAGACTCAAATCATACTATAGATGAATAGAATATTGATTGTTCACTTCTTACTCAAAGAACTATTAAAGGAGAAATAAACAGGCTTAGAAAGCAGGAAAATATTGGATTCATTTACAGATTCTGTCACTTTTTTAGTTTGGTCACTTTGAGCAAATTAATTCTGAGTTTTATTTCCCTTTCCCTTAAATAATGGGATGATATCAACCTCTTGATGTTACTACACAATTTGTATGTGGTAATAGTGCAAAGAACTTAGCCTAGTGTCTGGCATCAGGCAGGTTCTCAGTAAAAGCATTTGCCATTATTTCCCTGGGTTTGTGAAGTTCACCTAGAAAAATCACTCCAAATATACAATCAAAGTCCTAACAAATGTGGCACAAAAATTACCAGAGAGCATGGGAGAAAATGTTTGTAAGTCATTTATCTGATAAGAGACTTGTTTCCAGAATATAGAAAGAACTCTTATAACTCAACAATAAAAAGACAAGTAACCCAATTTAAAAATTGGCAAAGGATTTGAATAGACATTTCTCCAAGGAAAATGAGTAAATGCCCAACAAGCTCAAGAAAAGGTATTCAATAAAACTATGATTAGAGAACTCAAATCATAACAATGAGCTAACACCCCCCCCCACACACACACACACACTAGAATGACTAAAGTCAAGAAATGGCCAATAACAACCTTTGGCAAAAATGCAGAAAAACTGGAAGCCTCCTACACTGAAGGTACGATTGTTTAGTGGAACAGCCACTTTAGAAAACAATGTGACAGGTCCTCAGAATTTTCTATATAGAATTACCATATGATCCAGAAATTCTACTTCTAGGCATATGCACAATAAAAGTAAAAACATGTCCACACAAGAACTTGTACACAAATACTCATGATAGCATTATTCCTAATAGCAAAAAGTAGAAGCAACACAAATATCTATCAACATGGGAATGGTGGGAAACACGTGGTGTGTCCATATGGTGGCACATCATTCAGCAATAAAAGTAAAGAATGAAGTATTGATACATACAACAAAGTGATCCTTTAAAATATGATAACTGAAAGAACTGGTCCCAAAAAGTCATATATTATAAGATTCATTTATATGAAATGCCCAAAGTAGGCAAATCCATAAAACAGAAAGAAAGACAATTTGTGCTTGCCAGGTGTTAGTTCCGGGCAAAATAGGGAGTGACTGCTAATGGGTACAGGTTTCTTTTTGGGAAGATGAAAATATTCTGAAATTAGATGATGATGATGATGATGGCATCACTCTGAATATACTAAA